ATATATATATATATATATATGTATGTATGTATATTATTTCCTCAGTGACAACTGAGTTTAAAGTGTAGTCACTAAGCAAACAGAAATAATATCATAAATTGAATTTTACTGAAAATTAAGATATCAAGGATTTTAAATAATTTTTCCTTTCTCTTATTAAATTCAGTACAGATTTATTTGAAGAAAAATGATTGTTATGTAATAGAACTTAATAAATGTATAGATTTACCATACAGCAATGTTGGATTGTAAAGACAGTACTGAATGAGTCATTGGTTAGCCATCAGAAAAAAATTATACTTTCCATAAGGAAGTATGGGAAGAAAGGGTCCACCGGGCATTTTCCTGGTTGCTCAGAGAGTAAAACTATACAATAGGCTACCTGTGCTCTGCCCCCTTGGGGAATTAAACCCCAGATTTTAGTAAATTATATTGTAAACTTGTAAAATCATAACTTTAACTTAATAAACAATACACATAATCAACAAGATTCACAGATGCATATCGAAATTTTACTTGTAAGAAGTTGAAATTTCTCAACCTACAGTGTCCTTAGTCTTAACCTTTCAAAACCCTAATTCAGTATTCTACAAGACTAATTTTTACAACCTGTTATCTCTAGACTAGAATGTTGTTTTTCTTGGTACCAAAAGTTCTGTTATAAAGCAAATTATTTAGTAACAAGATAACTATATTTTGAGGTTTTTGTTTATCTTACTGTTGTAGTGAATTGGTAAGACAAAAAAAATCCTGAAGAAGCTACATGATTAAATATCCTGGAAACAAAGGTATCTCATATTTGTTAGAGCAACTCTGGGTTCTAAGTAGATTTGTCTAAAAACCTTAAATGCTAATTCTAAAGTCTTTATTGATAATGAATTATTTATCTGATATTTTCAACAAAAACTAAAACTTTGGTTATGCAGTTTTTCCTCAGTTACATTATGGTGATTTGATCAGATACTCACTCTTTGACCTGTGTAATCAGGAAAGTCTGGATAAGTAAATATTCTGACAAAGTCAGGTGCCAACACTACTGCATGTGCCGAGGTGCTTTTGCCTTCAACTTCCTGTGGATGTTTGATAATATCTACCTTCACAGGCAACTAAAAAAGCAACATATTAAATTGAATTAAATACCTGTATTTTGTATTTACGGTAAAACTACAAAGACTACCTGCTACTATCCCTAATTTTGAACTGCTGCCTAGAGAGAGAATGCAACCAATCAGCAGCACTCTTCCACTCACACTAAGAGATTGACACTCACACTTAAAACACACTCACAGCTGTTTAAATAGCAGCACAGATTTGAACACAACTTGTCAGCTTCAATATCCAGAAATCTACCACTGGGTCAACCCACACCTTAAGTTTAATTAAGATAATTACAAAATTGATGCCACTAATTAAAATATATTTTGAGATCTACAAAGTAAAATAAACAATGGGAACTAAAAGTCTGCACAGATTATTTCTGTAATACTAAAAATTAAAACAGGAAAGGAATATCTTTGAATTATCTTGGGATTTTTTTTCCATAAAACATATTAAGAATGTAAAAACAATGTAATATGGATAAATACGATTTGATATTACCGTTTTCTCTAAATTCTAAGAATAGATCCTAACACTAGAATCAAACACTGAAGTTTTAAAAATGCCAATGTAATAATAATAACATCTTTCATTATGAGAACTTATTGACAAACTAATTAAACTAAGTGCTAGGAAAGATATACTTTGAAAGTCTAAAGCTTAATATGAAGATTACTTGTGATTGCTAGTGTAATCTAAAGTGTCCAGTATATATTTGTGTAGTGTGGTATACTCCTAGAAGAATGGGATAAGTCTACAGATTAACGAGATCTGGAAAGTTCTTTATTACACAGTAATACTGAGTTTCCTTCTAAACCTGAGTTCATGAAAATGAAATAAGGAGACTCGACACAATGTAAATTAAAAGAAGCACAATCTTTATTATAACACAAACCAGTGTATATGGTTGCTTAGATGATGGACTGTCACTTCTGTTGAGTTGGAACTATTCTCTCTCCAGAACTTACTAACTTCAGATCATCCACTAGACTGTCTAAATGCAATGTTTGTTATTTCACAGGTAACAACAAATTTACGAAGAGTGAATAGACTCCCCACATAACTGGTCATTCTCATTGAAAAGTAAGGGAGGCTATAACCTCGATATAACACTAAAAGAAATTGTTGTCTACATGCAGCATCACTGTCATGCTACCTAAGGGCAGAAAGGGTGTGGCCTGAATAGAAAGACAAATGAACAAGAGCAGCTAAAACATAACCAACTGATTTTCTTGACCTTGTTTTAAGTGAAAATTGAACTAACTCAGAAAAAGTGATAAGTTTAGAATAACACTATATTAATATAAGAAGGTGGAAGTTGTAACTTTCCTATACTGAAAATGTATTTCGTATAGGTACTTACCTTCTCTCACATAAATCGGTATTCTCGTTCAGTGCTGCCCTCTATATGCAAAAAAAAAATTTACACACACCAAAAGCAATGAAACTCCTACACATCAGGAATAATTAATTACAATGCGTTTCACGTGCAAATTTCAATTGACAAACATCCACCAATAAGAGTACAACACACTCTTTGAGACGCATGTGACTACCTCTATACAATCCTACTGAACTATCACTTCGAGTGCTGGCAGAAAATGGAAGCACCAGTTTTCAGTGGGGAGGAAAGATAGGTAGTGTGAGTAGAGGTAAATACCTATTGGAAATACATTTTCAGTAAAGGTAAATTATAACTTCCGATATGGTACATTAACTCTGCTCACATAAATAGCTAAAATCCCACATTGAATAAGTGGAGGGACTAACATGAAAGAAAGAAAGAAGCATCCTTCGAAAGCATCCAAAGGACACTCCCCATAAGGAGATCTTCAGAGTTGAAGATCATACATGGGAAACCACACCACTTCTGAAATAGGTATAATCTTCGCCCATTGTATTTCACAGGTGTGAGCCCTCAAACTTGAGGCAAGGCCCAATGAAAATCAGTTCATTGGATGATCAATCTCTAGATGAAGTAAAGCTGAAAATCTACCTGCGGAGTACTGCGACCCGAAACCTGTGTAATTGTGCTAATAGAACATATAACCTCCGAAGTAGTAACATAGAATTTATAGTGCAGAATAAATAACCAAACACAAACATGTTGACAGAAAAAAATAAAAAGTTTTTGTAATACAGTAATAAGTTCTGTAACCCTGTAGGAATGTACAATAATTCCACTTCAGAATAACAAGTTACAAATATCACTATTGTATAATAAAAAGTAAACTTTTTAAGAGAAATTAACACAAAGATACAGAAAAAAATTAAATATAACATCTGAAGAGAGCACAAACTAAATGCTATAACATTATAGTACTGTCAAATGAGAAGTGATAGTTCAGTAGATTGGAATAGATGCATCAAGAGAGCGAGTCGCAATCTTATTGGTGGAGGTTTGTCACATGATAATTTGCATGCAAGATGCATTTGAATTGGTCATTCCAGATGGAAAGGAGTGTTTTTTCATATAGAGGGCAGCACTGAACAAGTACAGAAATTTATGTGATGGTGTGTTTACATACTATATTAGTACAAGAGTTTAAAGCTTAATATTACTCATATTAATTGGCTGGGTAGTCTAATGTGTCCAGTATACGTTCGTGGAATAAACTTACTCTGAAGTTGATAAAAATAATCACAAGAAACATAAGATTTAGAAAGAAGTTACTATGAAATTGAAAGAATATATAAAAGAATGTATAAATGTTGAAAACCACTAAGTTTTAAGTGAGATGTGATCTTTATTGAAATACATGCTACAGTGTAAAGATCTTACTCTTGCAGTAATTCACAAACAAGCATGCTACACTTTCACGAAATAATGAAGATGACATGAAATTTCAAAAGATTTTGTTTTTAACACTTCATAAATCATTGGAGTAATTGTTTAAAAAAAAAGAAATAATAGTTAAGGATTATTTCTATATATGTGTATATTGCTTTTATAATACAACCACAACCAAACACTGTTCTTGACAGATATGCTTTGATACACAGCCATCTTATAATTTTTTTTACAATGAGCCAATGAATGATCAGATGAAATCTATACTAATAACAACTTTTATCATATCTTTCTTTACTGGCTCTGTGTAGGTTTCCACTAAGAAGTACACATCATTTCAACCACACACACTTTGGGTGATGCATGTTCATAAGGCTGATTAGGCATAAAACACATAAAACCTTGGGTTAAAAACTACTCAAACCAGTCATTTATGAGATATCAATACCAGCTGACATGAAGAGCTGTAACACTGAGCAGAAGGCCTCGTCTGCAGTGGCATGCCAATAGTAAAGTGTGCAGTTGAAATGCTATTATATTTGTTCATATTATATATTTCTATAAAGAAATATTTGATAACTATCACCAGTCTATGGCAACATAACATTACACAAGTTACCAATCCACACACAACATTTCACCAAGAAAGCAGTTATATACTATAAGAATTGATAGCAAACATTAACTAAAATAAGAAAGAATAAGGAAACATATTACATATGTATTCATCCAATTTGTCTGTTTTACTCAAACTACATACACATACATGAATAGTTTATTATATTGGTTATGAAACAGGCAGCTGTGAAAGTTACAGTATTTGTCATAAACTAAGACTCATGCATCCCCATCTGGTGGAAGAATTGATTGTGTCTGAGAAAACATAGACAAAAATTAAGAAAAATGCATAAGAATGTTAAGTGTTTTTTTGAAGTTTTGTTAGATGCTTTTCTGATGATTAAAAGACCCTTTCTTCTCTTATCTTTCCTTACAATTAATAAATGCATCTTAAACCACTTGGAACAGTCATGTGCTCTGTTTCGGCTGCATGATGTATTGTTACAGCTACTAGTGTATTTAAAACCAGAAGGTGCTACATTCAACAGTGTTCTGGTGTAAATGTGGATTTTCTAAATCCATGTATTTCTCTAAATACATCTATCACATAATAAATAATTCATCTCAAATTAACAATAGTATACAGTGGTTCCAGCATTATATGATACACAGAATACCTAAATCGAGCAGAAAAAAAAAACACCTATGATACAGAGGATGTAACTAGTAACAGCTTTGTTTCATGATAAAAAAAAATGTTTTCACCTGAACTTGTGGTATCTTATCCTTCACAGAGTCAATTGGAATGCCACAAGAGTAACAGTAATACATTCGAGACTTCAAGCACTTTGAACAAACACCTCGTTCTGTTATATGGTTAAGAAACTCGCAAGAATCAACCCGAAATTTTGACATCGGATCTTCATCGAGAGTCGTAAACATACTGCTTCCTTCAATTGGCCGTTTTCGTTTCTTAAAGTTAGACATTGTTTACATTCTTGTGCCACTGGAATTGACAAAATGATACCTGTTTAAAAACTGTTCATTTCTTAGAGTTAGACATTGTTGACGTTCTTGTGTTATTGGAATTGACAAAATGATAAATGTTTAAAAAATCAAAATGAATTAAAATATATCTTCTGCCACACTTTTTTGTCTACACTTTACTTAACAATAATATTTCAAGCGTTTAATCAGTAGTAAACAATCAAAATGTTTCAGTCTACAAACATATTTGGACACAAATTATGAGTTGTTCTGCACATATCGCGAACCAACTTTCAGAGGGAATCAATATTAATCTTCTTAAGTAAGTTCTATGGCATAATAAAAATAACATTAACTAATAAAAACATAACTAACTAATAAAAGTAAGATTATGAAGAACTATTGAGTCTGTTGAAGCTGTCTCTATACACTCACCCCTGATAAAAGTAAAGATTTTAAATCCATCCTTTATTTTTCACAAAATCATCTATTCTTTCTTATGTTCTTGTAAAGTTCCAGCTTCCACTTTTGCCAACAGCAACTCATTCCATAAGCTAATCACCCTGTAGAAAAATAAAACTTACCTTAGAACTTGGTGCTCAATAATAATTTCAACAGCAACTTGCATTTTTCAAGACAGTTTGGTGTTTGCAGTTCACACCTTTTTTAATGCTAGGTTTAACTGTACACGTACATCGTCTAACAATAAGACAAAAATACTCATATTACTTTTGTCATTGAAGCAATCAGTTTTCATAGAATATTCAAATAATAAAAGCATATTCTGAATATGTTTGTTGTAAAAAAAAAACTTGCAAATGTGTCTAAATATATCAGAATAACTTATAGAAATGAGAAAAGAAGCTTAGAATTATTTAATTAATCATGTGATCGTTTTGTCCAAAACCTATGTAAAACTAAAACAACGATTATATCAACAAATTACTACTTACAACAGATACAAATGGAAAATTTTCATTAAAACTTAGAAGTAACTCTTGGTCTTGGTGTCAGTTATACAAATTTAACTTAAAAAATAATAAATATTTTGATTTGAAATAATAATAGTAATGTTGTTTGTGAGATGGCGAATTCTGAAGGTAAAAGGAAAGTCAGCGCTTTAAGTTACTTTAATCTAATTACAATTTCATAGTTGAATTAAACGATACAAGGAATAATAAAATAATGAATGGTAAACAAAACCATAACAAAAACTATGACTAAGAGTGAGTTACTAAGACTATTTCACGTGTTAAGCTAGGCCTTGGTCTACGCTAAAACACAATCATTATCATCATTTTTTAACCAATTACAAACTTTGCAAATTTTTTACGATTGAGAAAGAAAGAAAAGTAACCAAACCTGACTTCCTAATAATGAGTAAAAATAATAGTTAAATTATAAATACACCTCGTTAAATTTCATCACTTATTGCAATTTCATGTTCGTGATATTAATGCAGGAACTTTTGCGTCCTCTATTAGTAGAAAGAAGAATAGACTTAAAATAAGACTCGAGCGCTTTTGAATAGTTGACTTTTCTTCTTCTTTGTTCTCCTGAAGAAGAAAAGTCAACTATTCGAAAGCGCTCAACCTTTGGTCTTATTTTAAGTCTATTACACTTTATATGTGATCCTTTGTGCTAACTCTTTTATCAAAGTAGAAAGAAGAAATAGTGTTATTTTGTTTTTAATTTTGCAATATCTGTTTTTAAGCTTTACTGTTTAAAATATGTAATTTAATAAAATGTCATTTAGATATTTTCTTTGACGTTTTTACGTTCCTTTATTCTATTCCCGTCAAACAGAGAAGAAACATTTGATCAATAATTTTTGAATTAAAAATTGGTAGGAAAACCCTGCTTAAAATTAATTTAAACTTAGTGAAACAAATATGAAAATTCATTTTTGTCCAAAGATTAGAACACTTCCGATTTTTAGCTTTATAAGCTTTGTAACTTACTGTTCAGCCACCGGAAGAGCTTTTGTATTTGTATTTATGAAAATAATGCTAAGGCTGTCCAACGCCGTTCCTAGTTTTGAACTACTGACCACAGAGGCGGCAACCAGTCAGCAGAACCCTACCACTTACATCTACGCTAAAGGAATGGCTGTCATTCTTGTAACACACACAGAGCTTAAAGTGAATATTTTGTAGTATCGTATGGATTCGAGCCCGGCTTACCACCTCTAAAATCCAGAGCTCTGCCACAGAACCAACATATGCCATATATTTGTTTAAAATTTGTAATACAAATCACGTAAGCAGCAGGTTCTATATTTGTCTTCATTTTCAATTTCGGATACAAAAGATCGATACTTTTACATGCTTCTGGCGAGTTGTGGTCTCTTGGACTGGAACGATGAAAGATAAAATATACTATGAAACGATATTTACAAGATAAATATAAAACTGGGAATTTAAAAACCTGCAAATAGGGATAGTAAAAAGGTAAGGACACAAGGCTGTTGATACTGTAGACATTAGTTACTCAAATTACACATCCCTATATTGACACGCTCGGCATGACCAGGTGGTTAGGACGCTTGACTCGCAATCTGAGGGTCGCGGGTTCGAATCCCCATCAAACATGCTCGCCCTTTCAGCTGTGGGAGCGTTATAATGTTTCAGTTAACCTTTTTATTCGTGTTAATGATTAGCTGCCTTCCCTCTAGTTTTTCATTGTTAAATTAGGGATGGCTAGTGCAGATAGCCCTCTTGTAGCTTTGCGCGAAATTTAAACCAACTAATTTCTCTTGATTGTTGGTTTGTAATTAAGCGCAAAGCTACACAATGGGCTATCTTTGCTCTGCCCACCACGGGTATTG